GTTATGATATATACTGACAAAGGTTGAAAAGTAAACTGGAAAAAGTGTTAAAAATGTAGTTTGTATTAGGTTCAGTAGTTAAATGGCTCTGTCGCATTGATATGCTTGGCCATTGCTGTGTAACGTATTTCTTGTGTGTTCGGTGCTTGGCCCAATCCTATAGGGTAGATGCCCACTTTACTTCAACAAGATCAGTTTATGCTAATTTGACGGTTCAGTCGCTCCCCTGCATTCCCGCTGTATGATGCTGCCAACAGCTTGTTATGGCGGGCGGTCAGAGTCGCCCAGTCGATTTCAGGCGTTCCTGTATGCAAGACCATTTGGCTTATGTTTCGCACGGGCCGTTTTCGGTTTTTTCCGGCTCCGGCGTGGCTATGTGGTTGGCTTAAGCATTGAGTATTGCAGCGTAATTTAGCTTGACATATATTATTATATAGTGAGTACCTATATTATGTATATATATATATATATATATATATATATATACTTTATTCCTATGTAGCCAGTAATGGTAATGTGGTCTGTGAAGATGAATTAAGGATACTGTTAGGGTTGGGAGGTGAATTTCGGTAGATATTCAATACCCACTTTATTTGATAGATCGCAGCCATGGGCAGCTATGTATACGTAGAAATTATGCATGTACCCACCCAAACAGTTCCAAATCCCTGCATTAGTCAATTCTTAACACAGGCGTTCAATGATGGGAAATTTAGAAAAATACTGATATCTGGGTTGTTAAAAATGCTAAAGTAGGTGATTTTTCAAGCACTATTTCTCGAAACTCGCAATATCCGATTCCAAGATTTTTTGTTACGTTTCAATGCTAACATATCAAAGGATAAAAGGTTCCCTGAAATTTCATGAGTTATGGCTCTTTGTTTACGAAATTGTTGCATTTAGAAATTCACTACAAATTTTTGTACATCTTTTCAACTTATTTCCTCAATTAAAGCATTTAAAAAAAATTGCAGGGACCCTTTTTTAGTTCATATTCTGAACAACTTTATACACAATTTTTGCTGTCAATTAATTAGCAATAAATTAAAAAAATAATATTTTCATCGAGAGCGTAGAGAGACATCTCTCGTATGTAATGGATATGAGTTTGATTGAATTTGATGAGTAGTTATGTTGCAATGCCCTTTACAGTGTTACCCATCCGTAACCCTAACAGCAGGGTGCGAAATTAATGGGAGTCCGGAGTCAAATACTCCCTGATTTACTGTCGGACTCCCTGATTTGACATATGCAGGAGTCCGTGCGACTCCCAGAAAATTCTGCCACACTAACCAGTTCGTTCCGGAGCACGGCCTCGCGGAATTACCGTATTTTGTCAGCTAATGTCCAGAGAAAATTTGACAGACGTACAACCGCATGAATCTTAAAAATAAGCACATGCGTTATTGTTAATATCTTTAATTTTGAACCTCAGACTGCGGACTCCCTCATTTTGCTGCGGACTCCCTCATTTTGCTGCGGACTCCCTCTTTTTGAGGGTAGTGAGTCCATTGGACTCCCGTGTTCAAAAGTTAATTTCTACCCCTGTAACAGTAAAAACTAAACTAAACCTGTAATTTGTAAAGTAAACTAAACCTGTCACTTGCCTGTGCCTGGAGCAAAACCAGGATCTATTCCATCTATGTCGAAGCTGATGTAGACTGGTCCAGATCCCATCTGAGCCCTAACCTCCTCCATGAGTGGCACTAGGGATTTATGCCAACACTCTTCTGCTGAAACACATCTAAACCCCTGCAAACACACGAAGACATGACGTTGATGTTTAAGATTGTGTCACGGAATGAGAATTTTTCGAATTTTGTGAAGACTGTCAAAAGAATCGAAGAATTGCAAGACGGCAAGGCACATAAACAGCGAGACTTATCAAGGTGTACACGAGTGAATTGTCCACTTAAGAAAAGGTTAGAATAGCAAGCAAACAGGAGAAATGACAGCGGCACCATTGAACTGGTAAACAATTATCGTGTATCACGATTACCAGCATGGAATGACGATATATCCATTAGGACTACCGCGCAGACATAGACAGCTCTCACAGACAGAATCAAGAGATAGCTAGGGCAAGCGCAAAAATGAGCTCACACGACAACTAATATTCCGACATGTGAGATAACTTCGCTCGCACTAGTGCAGCCGCCGGCGAACTCGCGATGCCACCGCCACCCTACATGTCGCGCCGTCGGCACGGCAACGGTTACCTGCTTCACTCCCCACTCCCGCGCCTCCGGTCCGAAACACGAGCCGCGGAGTCCGATCTGGACGACGCGCTTGCTCTCGATGAGGCCCTCCTCCACGCATCGGAAGAACGGCGTTCCGTGAGCGATCTTCTCACCGATCATCACGTCCTGCGTGTCCTCGTGGGCATCGATGTGGATCAGCCCCACCGGCCCGTACTTCTCCTGCAAGGCAAGGGACGGCCGGTCGTCCACGGCACGTGAGACTACACGGTACGAATAGATTTTCACATATTAACGATGGGGGTAACGACAATGATGATGATCATGATGATAATTACAATAATAAAATAATGATGATGATAATAACAATAACAATAACAATATCATTAATAATAATAACAAGAGCCGCAGAGCGTCTGGGTTCATCTGAGGTCTGTTGCTACAGTTATAAACGTAACATTTAAGTCGTGCGTAGTGACACCTTTGTTAGGCGCAGATATGCAGATACGCAGTTGCGTACACATCATTTCAGCAACCTTCTGCATTCTGCATACCTCCCAAATCCCATTGGTTGATACAAATCGCGTGCCTGAAACTCCTGTTTTATGGTGCATTGTGACCCTAACCCTAACCCTATTAAAAAAATTAAAGAAATTAATTGTTGTAAAAATTATTTGTTGTTATTAAATTGTTGTAAATAAATCATGTAAATATGTGCGTTAATTGGGAAAAAATAGTTAAATGGATAAAGATAGAAAAATACAGAAACCAGGTAAATAATAAAAAATCTGTTGGGATTCGATCCAATGACCTTTGAGCTGTAATCCTGTGCTGTACCCGTTGGGCTATCGAGGCTTACTGCCATTCTAGATTATGGATGTGCCATAAATATGAGAACACTGTGACATCATTGAGGCAGTTCAGGAATCCATGTTTAACCCTCCTCTTAAGGGTCAAAAGGTTATCAGACACTTACTCTTCGCACGTCAGTGGAAAGCACATTTCATGGTCCTTTCAATAAAGTGATAAAAATGGTAGGTCAGCGCTGAAACAAAATTTTTTTTCACTCTGTCTCCAATCACTCCTTCACCTCCAATTTCGCACTGCTGACTGGTGATGGCTTTTCCTACCATGATGCTATACACCGACTATCACGAGCCTAGGTCGAGCCATTTAGATTTGTGCCGCAATTCTGCATTTCCTCCCTATACCTTAAGTTAAGGAGGGAATGTTCCCCCTTCGTTTACACCTCTTGACCTTTGACCCTTGATCCCCAAATTGGTCATCCCGAGTCCTTTTCACGATCCCCCCGACGTCCCGAATATCGTGACCGTACGTCGAGCGGTTAAGATTTGTGCCCAACTGTTGACGCATGCACAGACAGACGCACGGACGCACGCACGCTCATGCGATTCTACAAGCTGCATCTCACTACGTATGATGAGCTAATAATAATGATAATAACAATAATAATAATAATAATAACAATAATAATAATAATAATAATAATAATAATGATAATAATACAGGTTATATCATAGCATAAGTAAAAACTAAACTCTACACCCACCGGATATAAGCTTTATTTATAGGCACCTACTCCACTGCTGGTGATTCAAACCATCACTTCGCAGTCCTTCAAGTTTACCTTGATTGCTTGCAGGATCGGGTAGGTGATTGTGTGATCTCCACCCATGGTTAGTGGCTTGCATCCATTCTTTATGATCTCACGATAGTGATCCCTGATGCCATCGCATGCCTTCTTAATGTTGAACAACTTTATGTGTACATCTCCCACATCAGCGACTTGTAAAGAGTCGTAGGGGGCAGCACCTATATTAAAACGTCAAAATTACGTCAGTAATTTTTTCTTCATCCATGTGCCACAATTAAAATTAATTGATACCCAATAATGATTGATTGGTAGCATAAATGCATTCGGTACTTCTAGTTTAAGTTGAATCACAATGAAAAATTCTTCTAAGCAACAAATCAGCAATCAGCAATCAGCAAATCAGCAATCAACAATCAGCAACAAAGGCTCATGAATTTATATTCAATGAGGAAGTATACTTAATTATCAGGGCCGTAGCCTCTGGGGGCAGCTGCCCCCTAGATTTTTGGAGCAAAATTAAACAATAAGCTTAGCTAATAATCGTAAATAACTGGCCCTAACGTGATTTTTTTAGTCACTTATCCGTGAATGTTGTCTCAGACCCACCTCTACCACACTATATGGACGTCGATCAAGAGCTGCTTGCCTGTCGCTCATCATTACACAGTTGAGTCATGAAATTTTGCCCCCCCTCACCAGGAATTTGCTCAGCCTACGGCCCTGATTATGTATTTAGTCATGTAAACTCAGATATATACGATCAGTACATATACCTAGCTGCTATCCAAGTGCTGGCAACAGTAGTGTCAGTAGTGTTTGTGTCTCATTCGTTAGTAAACCCCATTATATATGTCTCAGTGTATACAGTTTATAAAAACCATTAAATACAGTAAAACAGTTAAGTAGTGATACACTGCATCAATATATTGAAACCTTCCTCCATTTACAATGATGAAAATTCAATACACTGTAATTAAGAGATCGGGTGAATGACTCAATGAGGGCATGAAGGACATAACAGAAGCAAACATGCTTGAATAGGTGAGCTCGTGCTAGTTAACACACCTGTTCCGCTGTTTGTGCGACGAAGCAGGACAGATTCGGTTCGAATTTGGCGGGGGCCGAATCGCGTTCCTACCCTGTTGCCTGCACCCATGTCAAAGGGCACCCCGATGAAGCAGGCATCTAGACCTGAAGTACAGGTTAAACAACACATTACAGAACAAATGCTTGACCTGTGCCGCTGTTTGTGTGACGAAGCAAGACAGACTCAGTGCGAATCTGCCGCGGTCCGAATCGCGTTCCCACTCTATAGCTGGCGCCGATGTCGAACGGGACCCCAATGAAGCAAGCATCCAGACCTGAAATCAAGTACACATGCACGTGTGTTATGCCAATACCTTATTATAGCCTGTGAACATAGTTAATCTACTGTAACTGTAAGCAGCCTTACTTGCCAACACACACAGGAAAAGATTATCAGATAGTTTCATGTCTTATCTTAGTTCATATAGAGGCTAAACCTATGTGTATAGTGTGGGCAGCACGAGTGTTCTTCTCTCGTCCCTACAGATTTTCAATCGCTGGTTACATTGTCACACGATCCTCCCCTGTACACTTCTCATCCCATACTTCATCCTCTATATTTTCTTTCGTCTGATCTCGATCCTTATCAACTAACCATATTTGGTAGAGATTTATTAATTGTCATGGTTCAAATAAACGTTTACACGTGCACTGTAGGCCTACCTCTAAGCTGCAAAAACGCTGCAGGAAGCAACAAAGACCATATAGTTATGCATGGGTGGAGGTGGTTGCAGTTTGGGGTGATATACTATATATACAGGTATATACTAATTACATATATATATATATATATATCAGCAGGGTTCAATAAAAACAAATTGTTTATTTTTTTATTTACTCCTGTCCCTCAAGAAAAATCATCATACATATGGTATCAGTCTACAATCTACATGGTATGATTGGTATCAGTACATGTGTGTTCATTATACGGTGTATCATACATCAGGGGTTAATAATGACAAATGACAATGACACTGTCAATGACAAATGACAACATCATAATGACAAACTTGTCATTATTCACCCCTGATACATTGATATACACAATCACATGTAAAACAAGTATCACAATGTGTCGAGGGGGAGGGGGAAGGGGAGGGGGAGGGGAAGGAGGAAGGGGAGGGGGAGAGGGGGAGGGGAAACTAGGGGGGTCCAGGGGCCTGGTCTAATCACTGGCAGCAAGAACAAGTCCGCACCTGCAGCTACAACACACACGCATCTATTGACTAGATATAACAACATTATATATAGTTATATATAACTACTACAACAACTATAGCTACTATAACAACTAGATATAACTACTATAGCAACTATATATATAACGTTGTTATATAGTCAATAGATGCGTGTGTGCTGTATAGCTGCAGGTGCGGACTTGTTCTTGCTGCCAGTGGGTCGAATGGGAATTCTTGCCGAGGTGGACCCTCAATTGCCAGTAGCAGCAGCGCCTCCAAAGCTGACTCACTCAGCCTGTTCCTCATGTAGCCATTCCCATTATAAAAAAAAAAAATTACGTGGCACACCGATTAAAACGGGGGGGGGGGAGTTTTCCCAAACGGGGCGGGCGCGCCCGGTTTGTGCAACGTAGGGAGAAGCCTGGGTTGGGTTACTCTTGTTGGGTTACATTATTACCTCTGCCAAGGGGTTGGCAGGAGGTTATGTTTTCACCGGCGTGTGTTTGTTGGTTTGTGGGTTTGTTTGTGTACAGCCTAAATGAAAAATTTATGGACGGATTGTCATAAAATTTTCAGGATAGGTCAGAAATGGGCTAACAATTAGAATTGATGAGATTTTGGTGGTGATCAGGATCCAATTAATTAATTAATTAATAACATTTTCAATTTGATAGGTCACAAATGAGGTAGCTTAGAATTGATTACATTTTAGTGGTGATCCGGATCCAATTAATTAATTAATTAATTAATAAAATTTTCAGGATACGTCAGAAATCGGGTAACTTAGAATTGATTACATTTTGGTCGATCGTCATCCGGATCCAATTAATAAGAATTTTCACAGTCACAGAATTCAGCTGTCTTGGCGGAGGTCTGTGCTCTCCGAGTGTTCTAGTTGTATCTAGGTTAACGTTATAGCTCTGCTTGCATGTAGATATATGACTATATGTACATTACCTTCAGAGGTACTCTGCACTGGAAGCCTTTGCATGCTTGCTATACCACACGGTCTTGCCAAGTCATTGGCGGTTGGTGGCTTGTTGAATTGCCGAGTGAAGCACCTCCACAACTCATTACTTCGTGGTGAACAGTTTCTCCGCGATACATTCAACAGAATGTTAGCCATGATGATGTTGATATGTTACGTAACGTACGTCTGGTCGTCTCGTCACTAACTAAATAGGCCCCTACTCGTCCTACCTGAACCCTGCTACTCGAGTATTAAACCTGCTGACATATGCACTTGTTGTTAGTCATCTCGTGTCTTATAATGTACAGTCTACGCGATTGCTCGCACTCTCAGACTCTGCACGTGGTTGGTTGGTTGCTGCCCCGGGTACACGTGTACGTTTAAATCAGAGCTGCGTTATCTCGTAAAACAACTAAAAAACCAAGTGACTTTTACAAGCGCCTTTCACAAGATCATGCCTCTGCTATCTCGAGTTCTAAACCACAGGCACGGCAAACATTGCATGTCACTCACTGTAAGTTTCGATCTGCTCTTTTTACTTTTAGCGCAGGAGCTTCTCCCAGGCGCTGGCCCCAAGCCAGGACAATGACGTCATAGATTTGATTAGTTTTTATTCAGTTCTAAGAGAGGGCAGCACGATAGAGGAAAAATGGCATCCTCCTTGACGTACAGAAATTTCATGCTTTACAGGTAAATAATACCATATTTGTTTACATATTGATGTTAACAGCTCGCATAAAAGGAAACGAACTTGCAGTCATCATGTTGATATATCTATTAGGACTTAGGTATAATTGATATTACATTGATACATTATGATTATAATAATTACAATGTTTTTCGTGATTGAGTTACACTCGTTACGTAGGGGGTGTTTTACTATTATTAGACCGAATAATTCTGTTCCATATATAACCTTTTTATATTTTGGTGAGGGTTATATTGGGACAGAACGGGGTTCATTGAAATTTCGTGAGATCGCATGCAAAATGCATGCGCTGAGAATGCGTCCCGTACGCCGCTATTGGCGCGAAAAAAAACCTACCGTACCCTTCTACATGGCTTTACCTTGCTACTGTATATGTGTATACATTCACTTCAATCGTTATTCACTTCTTAAAAGATTGTTTTTCAGAAAAACCGCTTCGTTTCACTTTCCTAAATCATTCGCCATTTACAAACAATCAGACCAATCAGAGCGAGTCTATCAGCCCTCCTGCAGCGCCACAGATTGGTGGTAAACCCTCATTGGTCGACATTATTGTGACAAACAGACCAGAAAAGCTGTACTGTACCAAGTCTTTCGACACTGGACTGAGTGATTGGCATCACCTTGTGTATACAGTATTTAGAGGAAATGTACAGGGTTTTAAAAAGGAAGAGCTAGTGTACAGAAGTTTTAAAGCAACTGACGAGAAACTACTAAAACAAGAACTAAGCGAAGTACCATTTCACGTGGCCCACGTCTTTGATGACATTGATGACGTATACTGGGCACATGAACTGATGCTTGGTGAAGTCATAGACAAACACATACCATTCAAACAGAAAACTCAGAGAAAAAGTAAAGCACCGTTTATGAATGGCGAACTTCGTAAAGCGATAAATTACAAAAAGGCGCTTTATAGGAACCACCAAAGATGGAAATCAGGGCAGAACTGGGAAACATATAGAAAACAGAGAAACAAAGTAAACCGGTTGAAAAAGCAAGCAATACGGCTATATTTTGCCGAACGATGCGGTGGTGGCACAAAATCGAATGATTTCTGGTCCACCATACGCCCTTTTCTCTCTGAAAAAGGGAATACTAAACAGAACCAAATTCACCTGAGACACAACAATGAAACTGTCTCAAACCAAAACGAGGTATGTAATCTCTTTAATGAATACTTCGTAAACGTTGCCTCGAAGATTGGAGAAAAATGTAAATGTACGGTAGACATAGAACATCCAAGTATAAAGGCTATTCGGAAAAATATACCACCTCCTGACACCTCGTTCAACTTCCAGGAAGTTTCTGAACGGGATGTCAGAAAATATATTGACAAAATAGGCAAGAAAAAAGCAACGGGGATTGACAAAGTATCACCAAAGATAATTCATATGGTGAAGGATGAAGTAATTTCCCCAATAACAAGAATCGTCAACTTAACACTAAAACGGGGAGCATTTCCTGATAGACTGAAGTTGGCAAGGGTTACTCCGATATACAAAAAGAAAGACCCGCTAGATAGACAATACTATCGTCCGGTGAGTGTTCTACCGGCGATATCCAAAATCTTTGAAAGGGCCATATCTGAGCAGATGGCTGTATTTTTTAAAGACATTTTCAATCCAATGCTGTCCGCTTTTCGACCTGGGTATAGTTGTCAATCAACTCTGTTGGCTCTCACCGAGGAGTGGCGGGCAGCATTGGATAGAAATGACTATGTAGCTGCTATTTTAATGGATTTATCGAAAGCGTTCGACTGTCTGCCGCACGATCTGATCCTGGAAAAACTCAAAGCTTACGGTTTGTCGGAAGGTGCTGTAACACTAATGGGAAGCTATCTCTCAAACCGCGAGCAATGTGTGCAGCTCGGAAGCAGTACGAGTACTTTTTTAAATATCACAAAGGGCGTACCACAGGGTTCGATTTTGGGACCCATAATCTTTAATATTTTTATAAATGATATATTCTATTTTGTAAACAAAACACGCCTCGTTAATTATGCCGATGACAATACCCTTTCTTATTGCCATCCGGAGTTCGAGCAGCTAAAACAAACTCTCGAAGCTGAAAGCGTGTCACTAGTCGAATGGTTCTCCGACAACCAGATGGAAGCAAATCCAGAGAAATTTCAAGCTCTGAGTGTCGGGAAACGGACATTCGAAAAGAAACCAGTATTTTATTTAGCCAACAATAGTATACCATGTGAGGAATCTGTCATTTTACTAGGAGTGGAAATAGATTATATATTAAATTTTGACAAACATGTTGGTAAAATGTGCAAAAAGGCCTCACAGCAAATAAATGTTCTGAAACGTATAGGAAAGTTTTTAACATTAGAAGGACGGAAGGCTGTGTATCATGCTTTTATCATGTCAAATTTTAATTTTTGTCCTTTGACATGGCACTTTTGTAAAAAAGCAAACACAGACAAGCTGGAAAGACTCCATTGTAGAGCATTGAAATTTGTTTACCAGGATCATGACAGCTCATATGAGGAGCTTTTACATAAAAATAAAACAAGTTCCCTGCACCTTGGGCGTCTCCGAAACATTGCCACAGAGACTTTTAAAATTATTCACGGACAGTCCCCAGTTTATTTAAATTTTTTTATCCACATGCGGAAATCTGCGTACTCTTTTAAATACAAAAATGTCTTAACCACACCAAATACCAGAACTGTAACATATGGCACAAATAGTTTTAGAACATTAGCTGCAAAGGTGTGGAACAGTCTGCCAGAAAATGCCAGACAGACTGTATGTTTTAACGAGTTTAAAATGTTTATCAAAACATGGAATGGTTTTACATGCAAATGTGCAATGTGCAAATGATCTTGTAATCTGCAGTATGTTTTTTAGTAACCTGATACACATGTTTTTAGTAACCTGACACACATGTTTTTAGTAACCAGCAACATCTGTAACTGTGGCTATAAATTGTAAATATCTATGTAAAATTGTAAAATTTAAAATTGTAAGTATACTATAAATCGTATTGCATCATAAAATTGCATCGTAAAATTGCATCGTAAAATTGCATTGTAAAATTTAAAACTGTAAATATGCTATAAATTGTATAGCATCTATAAATCGTATTGCGTACTATCTAAAATTGTAAGTATGCTATAAATTGTAAATTGTAAATATCAATACCTAAAATTTATTCATGTACTCGAATGCCTGTATAGTATGCATGTTAAAATTGTTATGTACTGTTTTATTTATTGGCCAACCTTTGTTAGTTGGTCGGTCTTAAAAGCTCTTCAGAGCTTACGTTTCTCGTTGTAAACATACCGACTATAAATAAAGATTACTTGAACTTGAACTTGAACAGATACAAGCGAGAACCAGGCTATTGTAAGACTCGCTCTGATTGGTCTGATTGTTTGTAAATGGCGATGTAATTTAGGAAAGTGGAACGAAGCGGTCTTTCTGAAAAACAATCTTTTAAGAAGTGAATAACGATTGAAGTGAATGTATACACATATCAGTAGCAAGGTAAAGCCATGTAGAAGGGAACGGTAGGTTTTTTTTCGCGCCAATAGCGGCGTACTTGCCGCATTTTCAGCGCATGCATTTTGCATGCGATCTCACGAAATTTCAATGAACCCCGTTCTGTCCCAATATAACCCTCACCAAAATATAAAAAAGGTTATATGGGACAGAATTATTCGGTCTAGGGGTGTTGTAGATACAACAAATTGAACAATGTGACCCAACAAGAGTAGGGTTACAACGCGTACTATAGTTTTCTGTGAAGGCGCCCTGAGTGATTCACTCAGGGCGGTTTTATGGTTCGTTTTTCGAGACTACAACTTCCAAACTGGGTTTATTCTAAACACGAACGTACCTTTCTCCGCCATCTGGGGACTTACTATGTATCACAATACTCTGTATTAAACTAATATAACCTGTTACAAAAATTCGAAGTGACGAGCGGCGAATATACTGAGCGCCATTTCTGTTGACCTGTGACATACTTCGGTTTGAAGAGCGACACTGAGTTCACTGAGGGCACTGCGTTTGCCGATTGCTATGCGCCTTGGGAATGCGTACGTCACAGGTCAACAGAAATGGCGCTCAGTATATTCGCCGCTCCGTGGCCTTGAATTTTGTACAGGTTATTTATTTAATATCGAGATTGTGATACATAGTAAGTTCCAGGACACCCGGAGGAAGGTTCGTGTTGAGAATAAACCCAGTTTGGAAGTTCTAGTCTCTGAAAACGCACCAGCAAACCGCCCTGAGTGATTCACTCAGGGGTTCCTCCACACAAAAGGATAGGGAAGCGTTGTAACCCTACTCTTGTTGGGTTACATTATTGTATCTAGGGGTGTTGCTAACCCTCGGTCAGTGAGGGTCACGCAACGTGGTAGCACTAGTGTTAGGATTAGGGTTAGGATCAGGGTTAGGGTTAGGGTCAGGGTTAGGGTTAGGGTCAGGGTTAGGGTTAGGGTCAGGGTTAGGGTTAGGGTTTTTGCATCATGATATCTGTCCCCACACCACAGATTAATTTTTGTGGATGACACCCCTATATATAAAGATCCGATATATAGATATTTAGTGTTAGGGTTAGTGTTGGAGTTAGGGTTATGGTTACCACAGAATAACGGATACACTACACTGTACACTACACTGTATCCGTTAGTCTGTGTGGCTACTGTTAAGTTTTGAAGTATACGTCAACTGTATCACGTGACCCTCACTCCACACCCGGGGGATAGCAACACCCTTACGTAGGCCTACCCTACCTACTTGTTAGTTTGTGAATTACTCAATATAGGCCTACAACCATTGCCATAAATATGTGCATTTTTCAGGTCACTAGAAAAGACTCTGTGTTTACTTTCGAAACGCTATGCCAGTACAGGTATATATTATTAATTTATTATTATTAATTGCAACTGTATTATGTATATTATTATTAACAGTTAATCACTTCTGGGGTTACTTTACTTTTACTGTCAATGCTGACACTGTTAGTGTTACACATACTGAGTGCCAGAGTGGTATATGTTCATATAACTATTATAAGTATTAATATATTGTTATTAATCCTGTGATCAAGCTTATGCAATTGTTGAATTCCTTTCACTTGTTTATTGCGTCGAAAATAAATGCAATTCATATTCTTTATCGACAGCAGAACCTATCAACAAGATACTTATAGCCAACCGAGGAGAGATAGCATGTAGAGTTATGCGCACAGCTCGCAAGATGGGCATACAGACAGTGGCCGTCTATAGCGATGCAGACCGTAATTCAATGCACGTAGCCATGGTATGTGAATGTGTTTTACAATATTGACATGAGAGATGCTGGGTATACCAATTTAGAGTAACTAAATTGTAATACCAATAGTAATTACCAAACTAGTAACTATTACCAGTTAATCGACATCCATACGATTAGCAGCAGCAGAACAGAGAAATTGGCTAAAGGGAGAAAGGTTGGGTAATGAATGGGTAATTATTGGTAATTTGGTAATACGTATCATATCGTATATATATACTGTGATACCAATCTTATCGCGAGCTGCCCGCATCGCCCCCTCCACCCCTCCCCCTAGCGAACTACATCTACATCCCTCGCCGCGTGTTTCGCGCAGGCGGACGAGTCGTACAACATCGGCCCCGCGGCGTCGCAGCTCAGCTACCTCGACCACAACAAGGTGCTGGAGGTGGCGCGGATGTCCGGAGCGCAGGCCGTGCATCCCGGCTACGGCTTCCTGTCCGAGAACACGGAGTTCGCCGAGCAGTGCCAGCGCGATGGCGTCATCTTCATCGGGCCGCCGTCGTCGGCGATACGCGACATGGGAATCAAAAGGTGGGGGATGAGCGACAGCGGCAGCAGCGGGGTTGCTTGTCTGTGGCATTAAGGCCTAAGAAAAAAAGATGGTTGTTTCCGCTAACGAGCTGGAAAAATTAGACACGGTAGGCAGGCAAAATTCTATTTATATCAAATATATATTATTATTTTTTGTATTCTAACAATACTTGTTTTATACTTATAACAGCCCACATAATGACTTCGAAGTCAAATCACCGATCGATATCACGTTATTTTTTATAAAAAAAAAATTCTTGCTGATCACACTAAAACGTTTTGACACGGCGGTTTAAAATGGACTCGGTCGGGTTAGCAGAAACAAATGTATTTTTTTTTAGGCCTAAGAGTGATGCCGCGGTTGTGCTCACGCGTGATGCGGAGACCCACGGTTGTTTTCATTCAGAATGGGAATTGTTTGCACGATGGTTATTATAATATCGATGTACGCGAGGTGATAGATAATAGTAATTAATTAGTAGATAATTAGTAGATAGAGCTAATTAGTGTTGATGGACTGCAATGGCCAAAAATGTATCGACCTATAACAGAACGGCGACGTGTGTTTCGGTCAGAATGGAAGTTTTTACCACATTCGTTATTATTAAGTTGACCGTGCGTGAGGTAGTGAGTACGTGTGTTCCAACGGATTCTCATTTACTGGCTGTCTGCCTTTGGCACTGCACAGAAACGAGACACAAGGAATGTACAGGCAATGTGATTTACGTATTGTGTCTGCCAACTGCTCTCTGCAGTGGCAAGATAGCTTTTATACATATATAGTATATAGATATTTATCAAGAGCGGATAATACCTAGAGTGTACAACGGAAAAACGGGAAAATAGTGCTATTTCACGACTACATTATTCTACTTTGCCTGTGAGTCTAGAATAATTTCATGGTATTGCATTAAGCAGAATTCCTTGCTCTCTACAACAAGACCAACCGCTTGTCAATACGATACTGCTAGGCTGAGATATCGGCTCCTAAACCTCCCCTCTCACATGCCAAACGCCGCCTCGTATCCACTTCTGCCACCATCCTACACGCGGGTAAGCATTTTGGCTATCGGTTTCCGTCACCACTTGGAGCGCTGATAATTGATGTCATATGCCCAAATTTGGTACTGTTACTACACTGTAGTAAATGAGCTGCGTTGTAAAAACTTGATGGAGCCGGCTCC